TTTTGTTTTGTTTTTTTGTTTTTGTTTTTGGTTTTGGTTTTTTTTTAATGTTTAATGTGAATAGACACATCTTGAGACTCAAGCTGTGCAACAATTTATTTTATCATCAATAGTCAAAAATGTTTCCGTTCCGTCGGGATGAGCCAATTAGGGAGTTCAAGATTCTCGTTTACGGGAAACGTGAAACGTTAGTTAACCTAGAGTTAACCCAGTTAACCCAGTTAACCCAGTTAACCCAGTTAACCCAGTTAACCCAGTTAAAATTAGTGAAAACGAATCGCAAAAATCTCCAAGTAGTAGATAAACAAAAGAATACTTGTCATCGTCGAGAAGGTTTGCAAAAGGTAAAGTGAAATGTAGGGAAACGATAAAAACTTGGTCACGTTTGCCGTTTGCGRGAAGGAAAAACGTGAATCTTAATCTGCCTAATGTCAACTATAGACCCTTTCAAGAGATTATTCTTTTGACCCTTCGCATTGATTTCCTAGAGGAATTGTTCTTGGGGACAAAACAATTGGCATTCCGATCTTATGTAAAAAATCAATTGTTGTTTTGTCCCTAGAACAAWTTCTATTATTCACCATTTTCCATACATCGGTTCACTGGTCAAACATATAGCATTCAGTCGAGGTTGCAAGGTTSAAATTTGAATAATCCTTTGAAAGTACCTTGGCGCCTCGCTTGAGCGCTTTGTGTTTGATCAGTGAACCAATGTATGGAAAATGGTGAATAGATCTGAAAATAGTAATATTAGCTAGTAGCTTCAAACTAATCTAAATATAAAACCTGTTTTGCTAGCTAAGCTCTGTTCCAGGACGTTTGGTAAATGTCATTGTCGTGCATTGACAAACGTTTCCCAACATTTTTTTGACTGACGTAACCTTATTTAAAGGAATGGCGCAGAGCATTTTCAGTCACACATTCCTTTTGGGCAATAGTCTCTTTCACAGTTCGCTGCGCCATCTCTAAATGTAGCCGTTTTTTAAGACCCTGAGTGAAGGTACCAATAGACCCTTTTCGACTTCCAAATTACCGCTGTGTTTCTTGATTACAGACTCATTTACCCAGGGTTAGCCTCGATGTTGTGCAGAATATTCACGTTTTCCAGTCAAGGTCCGTCAAGTTTCAAAGTGTTCGTATTGTTGAACTTGTGCATTCTTTACTTTACCGTTGGTATTTGCGAGTAATTAGACACTAATTCGAGGTTTAGTCTGAGCAAATTCTGAGTCTGTAATCAAGAAACACAGCGGTAATTTGGCTCTAATTTGGAACTCGAAAAGGGTCTATTCAAAAACGAGTCTTA